CCAATGGTGAATCATTGTGTCAGAGACGGGCTGGGTGCACATCCAAACCCACCACTCACACACACACACACACACACACACACACACACACACACACACCAGAACACCAACTCCAGAGATATATTCCTTTCGTGTCATGGCTAAGCGTCAAACTCGGTTAAACACAGCTTAATTTGTTAATAATCCAACTGTCAGCTCAGTTGGAATAAAAAAAAAAACCATTCACATCAGGTGCAAAACAATTATACTGTGAGGAAACTGTCGATGATGCACACTTCATGTCAGTTAGAAATAATAATACTCTGAATCTGTGGGAGACATTTTGTGATATAATTCAAGCAAAAGACATAAAATAGCTCTGTTTCATTGTGTAGCAGCAATGCACAGGAATGATGCGAATGCTTTCTTGATGGATAGTAAAGAGTCGGCTTTACCCACAAACACCTACAATCTATTCCAACATTCCCAGCGGACATTTTCCAATCCGAATGAGTTTTTCCAGCTTTCACCCCAGGATTTGTCCTCTATTTCCGAATTCGGCGTGTCGTAAATCTCCTCGTATTCGCCCGTTAAACGTGACTCATCGTTAAACGGTACTCCGGTACTCCGTGTTTTCTTTTCCTCTTAAACTTTCCGGACCGCCGATTCGAACAAGCGTACAAGATGACCGAACCAGAAACAGGACACTCGACAAAAAACCCAGAGCGTGACCGCACGTCACGTCAGACACGTGACGACGTAAAGACGGTCTACGTCGGCGCACAAACGGGTCAGGGAGTACTACATGATTCCTGATTTGGGGGTGGGGGGGACCCCGAACGGACCAATAGCGTGCTGATACATCACACACGTATTTTGTATATTTCGTATCGTGTAGAAGACGCTGCAAATGAGTTGCACGTGAACGCTGGGTTGGAGAAACAGATGGGTCGTCCAGAATGTTCTATTTCTCCTTGAGATACAGACCTACCGCTGAACCCGAGTCATCCGAATCCGAACCAAAGCCCAAAACGCTTCAAACGATCACGTGCTCATTTCTTGTTAACCCCTATTCCCCAGCCCTCAGCATTCAAAACATTTCCAGCACTTTCACTTGAAATCCCATTCCTTTTCAACGTTCTCTCATCTCGTCTCTAAGATATACAGATAGAACCAGGATAAAGCATGATTCACAGAGCAAGCTAATTCTGCCACGGTCGTGACTTTGTCCCGTTCCCGACTCGCTTCTATCACGAGTGCCAGCGTCAAAGCTCGGGTGCTGCTCGGGCACCGAACCGTCAGAGCACGACAGGACGATACCCCGAACACAGACCACAAAGAGAGACAGACATCGTCGCTTGAAACCTTCTCCCTGAACACGAGTACGGCTTTTCTCCATCGCTGGCGTGCAATTTGCAAAACTAGACACCGGTATTAGAAACTTATTCACACTCTGCCATTATAAAATAGCACTGAATCTGCAGAATCTTACACATAAGTGGAAAAATGACACTGAAAAACTACAGACACAGGCTTTTAGATCACTCACTATTAGATCAAAATACCACACACACACACACACACACACACACACACACAATCATACGTCTAACTGCCAAGAAGCACCAATAAAACACTTTGTCAAGAAATGAAACCCTCTCTAAAATGGGAAATCGATGTAGGACGGCAGTAAATTCACCATTTTGAGATGAAAACATTAATAAATGATTTATTTTCCGCTGAGACGAAACGCAAGCGGGACGCTTTCTGTAAATTATTGGACAATTTGCAGAAGAAAAAAATAAATAAATGATAGGAGTTGGTCTCCTTTGGACTCATGGATTCGACCAAAGGAAAGCCAGATCCACGGCAGAACCGCGCTCGACGAGAAACACGCTTCGGGATGCTACACCGAGACACGACACACCCGACACGCGTTCTTCTTTTTCCAGCTCTAGCGGTCAAATCGTGGTGGAAATTGAACGCCCGGAAACGACAATTCACCGAAGGGGAAAGGACGAAGGGACTCGCTTTCACTTCTCGCCAACGTCAACTAAGCGAACGCTGAATTTTCTGAGCGTTCGCCTCGCCAGCCAATACGGGATACGAGAAGGCGGGACTGTCGTGTCGGTCGGTCAAACCAGACGTTTGCATGTCACGTGTGGGAAAATCGATTTTAAAGCTATTACCCTATTAAAATGGATCTATTTTCTCCAAAATCACATCACGATCATACGATTTTTTTTAAACGAGATTAGCTTAGCTAGCTAATCCAGACTAGGGATGGGTCTTTAGCTAGCTAGAATTTGCTAACGCTTTAAATTACATATCCATAAATTATTATGGGTTATTTCATAGCTATAAGTTCCAGACATACTATTTTAACACGTTATCAGTCCGTACAGCATTTTCCGGTGTTTTTATTAATTTATTGTTGCTTTTTTGTCTTCTTCCCGAAAACTACTCGAATCTGCGAAATCCGAATCGCACGAAATTGTCTTTGCGTTCATTTCTACGATCGGAAAATCCTGGACGGACTACGTAGGTCGGTTTTTTTTTTACACGTTTGGAGCAGTGCAAAAAAAAAAAAATCGATTTATTCTGTTTCCGAGCCCTGGCGTGAACACAGGTTCTCATCACGCTGGACGTCTTCTCTAGCAGTGTGTCGAGGGAAATACCGCTCTGCGTGGCGGATCCGTGTTCTGCGCGGACTGCCAGGCGTCCAGCATTCGCTGCCTCCAAATGAGACATCTGGTCATGAGGCCGATGATCACACGCTTTATTAAGATCCCTCTCGATTATATTCAGAAAGGGAGAATAAGCGTGGAGTAATTGTGTCATGATGCACAGATGGCGGAACGCCATAAATTCATAAGGACAAGCAGAGTGATGTCCAGAGTGACGACAAGCGGAGACATGCTATTCCATGGCCTTTTAGTAATGACAGTATGTGTATGTAGGATGTATGTGTATATTAGGGGTGACTGTTGAACTGCTCCAAATATTTGCATTCTTATACCTGCTTATATATCTGTAATCTGCACAATATCAATAATAAAAAATAAAAAAACAACATTTAGTTTGTTTTATTTAGTCCTGCCCTGAATAAGCTATTTCACATAACAGATTTTCACATATAGTTCACAAAACACAATAATTACCAAAACTTTACACCCCCTTGATTATTAACCCCGCGTGTCGTTACCTGGATGATCCACGACATGAGGTGTTTATGTTGTGTGAGAGCTCTTCACGAGAGTCCCTGAGCACTTAACCTGCCCACTGTTCTCCAGGTCCTGCACGTTCTGCACGAATCCTCCAGGTCCTGCATGTTCTTTACTTTTCCGGCATCTTCTGCATGTTCGACTCCTTTCCAACAGCGTCTATATGACATCCGGACCCGTCTTCTCACACCGAGGACGACCGAGGGACTCGTACACGACCGTTACAAAAGGTGCACACGCTCACCGACGCTCGAGAAGACGACACGATAGATTAAGAGCCAGGGGGAGGGGGTGTAAACTTTTGAACAAGATGATCTAATATAGCTACTAAATGGCAGTACTAAATGAAAAAAAAATCGATCTTTAAACAAAATCATAACTATACTGCAAAAAAAAAAAGTCATCAAAAAAATCTTTATTCTATTATATAAGGTTTCAAGAAAGTAAATAGAAGATTATTAAACCTGTATATTCCTCGCTTCAAATTTTCTTCATTTATTGGAAGACTATTAAAGAATGCTTTTCCTATTAGTTTCCTAATCAGTAAGGATTCTTTTTTTTAGTAGAACCCTAAAGAGCTCTTAATTATCCAACAAACAAACCCTTAAAGAACCGCCGTCCCCCGTCCCCAGTACGATAACTAATGATATAGTCTGGGGAATAAGTCCTGATGATTGATGTACAGCAAAGGACACCGTTATTCGAGACGGCCGTCCACATGGTGATATTGGCGCCCTTCTGACCTGGCACGGTAACAGTAGCCCTCTGACCGATGATGTTCCTTTAGCAACTTTGTGTTTCCAGGAGATTAAAGTCAGCTTTATCCCTCTACATGATCACATGTTCTGCCCCCCCTCCCCCCCTAAAAAAAAGACATTTTCTCCATTCGCTTGGTGAAGGGCAACATATGCGTCATCTGAAACGTTCGAAGCCCGGAACATACATTTAAAATACACCTATAGAATTTCACTTGTACCTCAGTCTCCTAAGGTGCATCATAACTAAATATGATTTAATGTCAAACCCTGGTGCGTAACACAGCGCTCGCGTTGGGGTCCGAGAGCGTCTGAGCGTCGGGGCCTCAATCCGCTTCTAAGTGAGCGGGAAAGCGATTCGACTCCGAACCGAATCGGACACGCTGTGTGTTTTTCCTGTAGTGATCGAGCTGCTAAACCGAGCCAAAGGACAGAGCTGTAGCGCTGCAGAAATGCTGCATGTTCTGACGAACAGACACAAGACAATAAACTCTGTATATATTACACAAAATGTTCGGAACCAAGTACGTACGTAATTTATCCAGGGCCGGCTTCACGTTCTCCGTGCTCTGGCGATTTAAACACTTTTCAACTTGGTCATTTTCTTGTTTTTTCCCCCATCGCCATATTTCTGATCAATGAAGGAGGATTTATTTATTATTTTTGGGGGATAAATGAATGATGTTCAATATGAAACCAAATCAAACCACATGCAAACTATAAATTTCGCCCTGATTCAGACTTAGTGAGTGCTCGGTACATTTCTTCCAGTAAAGATTTCCCAGATGTTCCAGCCAGTAGCCTGAACTTCATGATCCTTCAAGACAATCATGAAGCACTTAAAGCAAATCGTTGGTATTCCATCGGGATGTGTACAGCAAGAGTAGATATTATAGTAAATGTGCACTTATATAGCGCTTTTATCCAAAGCGCTTTACGCTGTGTCTCATTCACCCATTCACACACACTCACACACCAATGGTAGCAGAGTGCTACCAACTTGGAGCAACTTGGGGTTCAGTGACTTGCCCAAGGACACTTCGGCACCCGGGCTGGGAATCGAACCGCCAACCCTACGATTAGCAGACAACCCGCTCTACCATCTGCGCCACAGCCGCCCCAGTGACTATTCTTTACATACACATACAGCACTCCTGCTTCCTTTCTACGTTCCACAATGCTCCTTTGTAATGCACCTTGGCCGAGCCACTTTATTCCAACATGGCTGTGTTTCAAGGCTTGATCAATTGTGTCTTGATATTTATAAACAGTTACTCATCTGCAATTACACCCAGCCATTTTACTGTATCTTCACTGCCATGGTTCATATTTAATATTTTACCTCTGCCAACAGTGCACGTTGAATATGTTGTATTTTTGAACAGCATCGCTATGAATAGCACCAAAGCCACATATGCACTGCTGCGAGTCGTCGTGTGAAACAGTGTAGAAGACTTTTTGTTCCGTGTTGCACACCCATTGTGGTGTGTTGTCGATGCTAACTTCCCCGAACAATAAAACGTTTCCGCAGAGCTGATCACATATTCTAATTGCGAACGAAGTGCACTCGTGTTGCAAAACACTGCGCACTTCTCAAAGCGTAAGCACAATAGTCGGTGTGAGAACACGACTGCAACCCCAGCTAACACATCTGCTAACGCTCGGCGCCCCGGTGAACAAAAGTCTTCAGTTAAACACACAGGAGAAACGGCATGAATATGCATTTGCCTATTCAACACCGATCACGTGACTACGGACGGGATGACGGGAAAAAGACATCATAGGACACGACGTGTTGGCCGAGGTGGTGGGCAAAAGGATTGAATACTTTAAGCTTTATATATCAAGCTTTATATATCAAACTTTATACGCCAAACTTTATACGCCTCATTTTAAACACCAGGCTTTAAACACCAAGCTTTTTACGCCAAACTTTATATGAAAAACTTTATACACCTAGCTTTCAACACCAGGCTTTATACACCTAGCTTTATACTTCAAACTTTATATGCCTAGCTTTATACTTCAAACTTTATACACCTAGCTTTATACTTCAAACTTTATACACCTAGCTTTATACTTCAAACTTTATACACCTAGCTTTATACTTCAAACTTTATATGCCTAGACTTATACACCTAGCTTTATATGCCAAACTTATATACCATCAAGCTTTACACACCAAGGTCTACACATCAAGCTTTACACACCAAGGTCTACACATCAAGCTTTACACACCAAGGTCTACACATCAAGCTTTACACACCAAGGTCTACACATCAAGCTTTACACACCAAGGTCTACACATCAAGCTTTACACACCAAGGTCTACACATCAAGCTTTACACACCAAGGTCTACACATCAAGCTTTACACACCAAGGTCTACACATCAAGCTTTACACACCAAGGTCTACACATCAAGCTTTACACAACAAGCTTTACACACCAAGGTCTACACATCAAGCTTTACACAACAAGCTGTACACACCAAGGTCTACACATCAAGCTTTACACAACAAGCTGTACACACCAAGGTCTACACATCAAGCTTTACACACCAAGCTGTACACACCAAGGTCTACACATCAAGCTTTACACAACAAGCTGTACACACCAAGGTCTACACATCAAGCTTTACACACCAAGGTCTACACATCAAGCTTTACACACCAAGGTCTACACATCAAGCTTTACACACCAAGGTCTACACATCAAGCTTTACACACCAAGGTCTAAATAAGCTTTACACACCAAGGTCTACACATCAAGCTTTACACAACAAGCTTTACACACCAAGGTCTACACATCAAGCTTTACACAACAAGCTTTACACACCAAGGTCTACACATCAAGCTTTACACACCAAGGTCTACACATCAAGCTTTACACACCAAGGTCTACACATCAAGCTTTACACAACAAGCTTTACACACCAAGGTCTACACATCAAGCTTTACACACCAAGGTCTACACATCAAGCTTTACACAACAAGCTTTACACACCAAGGTCTACACATCAAGCTTTACACACCAAGGTCTACACATCAAGCTTTACACAACAAGCTTTACACACCAAGGTCTACACATCAAGCTTTACACAACAAGCTTTACACACCAAGGTCTACACATCAAGCTTTACACACCAAGGTCTACACATCAAGCTTTACACAACAAGCTTTACACACCAAGGTCTACACATCAAGCTTTACACACCAAGGTCTACACATCAAGCTTTACACACCAAGGTCTACACATCAAGCTTTACACAACAAGCTTTACACACCAAGGTCTACACATCAAGCTTTACACACCAAGGTCTACACATCAGGCTTTACACAACAAGCTTTACACACCAAGGTCTACACATCAAGCTTTACACACCAAGGTCTACACATCAAGCTTTACACACCAAGGTCTACACATCAAACTTTACACACAAGGTCTACACATCAGGCTTTTACACAACAAGCTTTACACACCAAGGTCTACACATCAAGCTTTACACCAAGGTCTACACATCAGGCTTTACACAACAAGCTTTACACACCAAGGTCTACACATCAAGCTTTACACACCAAGGTCTACACATCAAGCTTTACACACCAAGGTCTACACATCAAGCTTTACACACCAAGGTCTACACATCAGGCTTTACACAACAAGCTTTACACACCAAGGTCTACACATCAAGCTTTACACACCAAGGTCTACACATCAGGCTTTACACAACAAGCTTTACACACCAAGGTCTACACATCAAGCTTTACACACCAGGTTTTACACATCAAGCTTTACACAAAAAGCTTTACACAAAAAGCTTTACACACCAAGGTCTACACAACAAGCTTTACACACCAGGTTTTACAGACCAAGTTTAACACACGTAGTTTAACACACCAAGCTTTACACATCAAGCTTTACACACCAAGTTTAACACACAAAGCTTTACACACCAAGGTTTACACACCAAGGTTTACACGTCAAGCTTTACACCCCAAGTTTAACACACCAAGGTTTACACCCCAAGTTTAACACACCATTGGTGATTGGTTAGCACGTTTGCCTCACACCTCTGGGGTTGGGGGTTCGAATTCTGCCTCTGCCCTGTGTGCATGGAGTGTTCTCCTTGTGCGTTAGGGTTTCCTCTGGGTGTGCCAGTTTCCTCCCCCAGTCAAAAGACTTGCCTTGTAGGCTGAATGGCATTTCCAACTTGTCCATACTGTGGGAATGGGTGTGTGATTGTGCCCTGCAATGGGTTGGCACCCCATCCAGTGTGTCCCCAGCCTTGTGCCCCATGCTCCCTGGGACAGTCTCCAGGTTCCCCAAGACCCTGGGTAGGCTGAGCAGAATAAAAAATGGATAGATGGATAGATGGATAGTCTTCCTACTATCCGGCCTATGCTCTCTGCTCAGTTTTCTGCGTATTAAGCATTCTGTGTATTAGAGAACTATGTGAGAAAATGTGGATGTTTTCACTCAAGTAATGACTGTGCTAGTTCATTAGCACATTGAGCGTTACCATATTAATTATACACTACTGTACTAGCGGAAATAGCACAGGCGTTGTCACAATGAATATGAAACTTAAACATCAAGGAGTGTGTTTCGAAACAAGAACGCGGTTAAGATTGCAGAGTCAAACAGAGCGAGTTCAGGAGACCGTAACTTATACACTGAAACTCTGACTAAAAGAAGATCCTCTCTTGCGCTGACGCTCGAGACGCCTTCCACAAACGTTCAATAAACTCTCCTTACACCACATTTCACCAGATCAACAGTGCCATGTTTCTCTTGGTTAAATAACAGCAGGGTTTTTTTTTTTTCAAAATAAATACATAAAGAATTCAACACCCTAGTCCCTGTTGTTCCTATCAAACAATAACGTTAGAATTAGAATGAGCGGTTTAATATAAACCTGTGATTGGCAGCTTTATATTTCAGAATCCAGAATTCAACGGCGATATAAACGTTTTTAATAAGTGGCTTCATCGTGACTCGGATCTATTAGACTTCTCCGTAATAATCCTGCGCTTCACGCTCGGCCCGCGCGACCGATCATGTGAAAATTGCGATCTCAGTAAGTTTTTCAAAGCAATTTATTTCAGGAACAGTATTGATTCTGCGGCATTTGCACATGGGCCACTTTCATAAAAACGGCGCGTCCTTATTCCTCCATATTCACTGTATCCAATCGGCATGAACGTTACAGCGCCGAGCGCGCTATAAGTCTAACAGACTCTACAAAGAAGGAAGAACAGTGGAAAGAGGGACGAATTCATCAACGTACAGCGAAACTCTGCACTCGCTCGAGTCTTCTAATTCGCCAATGGTGCACGTCAAAAAAAAAAAATCACAAAAACGTTCATCGACACCAATTTTCATCCATCGGCAGCTTATAAATCATTAATTGGCATCATACTAAATAAAAGTTGTTGTTTTCTCCAGCCAGGTTCACGCTACCAGAGTACAAACATACGAGTCCTCCAGTAGTACATGTGAAATCGTTCACAGTATCCGCTACAGAAACACAGCTACTAGAGTTAAAATTGAAAAATAATGACTTATTTCGTCCTGGATTGGTCTGTGAGCGTGTTCTAGAATAAAAGCTGCAAGGAATATAATATAACGTAGTATTGACGTAACTTTCATCAATTATTCACGTAATTACGTTCGCTTTCTATTCATCGTTGGTAATTTGGGGGTGTTTTTATTTATTTATTTATTTATTTATTTTTTGGCGGAGACGCAAGACACAAATGCTTTGAGTCACCACTTTCTATTTGTGATTGTTTACTTGTTTACTTGTTGAACGGTGAGTAACGCAGCAGACAGATTTAACAGCAAAACACAGAAACGAAGGGACGGAAGGATCTGATCATGTAGTGTTTCAGATACGATAGCAAACCTGGTGCTAACCGTACGATCTGTATTCAAGCGAGCACAGTGATGGACAATTGATATGTCAACTACTTACGAGTAACCAATGGTTTTTTTTTTCCATTTAACCATTGCAAAATGAATTCTTAAAAAAAATATGTAAATAAATCGAAAATAAATCGCTTTAAACCTCAGGTTTCTACATGATTCTATTCTTAAGCTAGAACACAATTTAGATT